CTCCTCCTGCTCCTCCTCCCCCTCCTCCTCCTCCTCATCATCATCAGCAGCATCATCAGCATCATCAGCATCATCATCGCTCCTCCTCATCCTCCCTCATCCTCGTCCTGCGCATCAACCCACAGCCTCTCCCATTGTATCGCTCACAGGACTGAGGTCAGGCCTGTCCCCCTACATGGGGATCTTCGACGAAACATATAAAATACCCCCCCAAAAAAATAGAAAAATAGTCCAAACATGGTCCAGGGAATATGTTTGGACTATTTTTCGACCTCTTTGGGGCATTTTTGGGGCATCTTATATTTTTCGCCGAAAATCCCCCTGTAGGGGGACACGCCCGACATAACACAAGACAGAGGAAGCACATACACCGCTTTTGGCCAGGTCCATCCTGAGCCCAAGATCGGTGCATACGCCCTCCTGCCTTGGCCAGGAAGGCATACGCAACGATCCTGGGGCCAAGGACGGGCCTGGCCAGGACCGGTGCATGTGCATAGTCCTCGTCGCCCGAACAAGAAGGGGTTGAACCTGAGTGGTGTTCTTCGTTTTCGTTTTGTTTTCGTTGTCCCTCGCTGTTGTCTCGAACCCGCCTCTGCCGCAAAACGAAGTCGAAGCGAAGACGGCCCACGGGATCGCAAAAACACCGCTTAGGTCCAGCCCTGGTTCATAAGGAGGGGTTGGTGAGAGGGGCCAGCAAGCATGGGAATGCGCGCACGGGGAAGGCCACCACAGGTCCGCCCGATCTGCCGATACAACCTCGCCCATGAAGGTCCCTGCCTGATGATTGCAGCCTGTAGTGCTTGCGGAGAGCACGGGGATCTGGCAGCATGTTGTTGCCTGGCTGTTGTCCGTTACCTCGCCTTAACACTGTTGGGAGAAAGCCTTGAGATGGCCACAGGGCAGCCCCAGACTGTCAGAAGACACATCCCAGGGCAACCCTCCATGTCGCAACAGGATTGCCCGTGACCTCCTCGAGACGAAAGGCGGCTTCGAGACGCCCCACGACTCCCCAAGACGACCCGAAGACCCTTGTGCAGCAAATCACCTGCAGACCGTCTCAAGATATCACAGAATCCCCCCAAAGACTTTGGGGGGTTCATGGCAAGACAACTCCAAGACGCAAGAGGACGGCCAACAATGATCTCAAGTCTGCTCCCAGATGACCCACGTACACACACTTTTTCGTCGGCGGCGAGGCAGAGGCAGTCCGCTCCAGCGTGAGGCTAAACGGGCCAACCGAAAGGCGAATTGACTGGCGTGCAAGAGGACGGGAAGAGGACGAGGGCGGCCGCGCGGGGGGAGGAGGATGGGACAGACACAAACACACACACACACACTCACGCACGCACGCACGCACGCACGCACGCACGCACGCACGCACGCACGCACGCACACACGCACACACACACACACACACACACACATGCACGCACGCACGCACGCACGCACGCACGCACGCACGCACGCACGCACACACACACACACACATGCAGGCACGCACGCACGCACGCACACGCACGAACGCACACGCACATGCACACACACACACACACGCATACACACACACATCGCATCGTCGACGCGATCCCACGTCCCAAAGACACTGTTGGTCGCCCTGCTGCCAGAGCCCTCGCCCGAGGGAGGACGTCGTCCAATCGGAGTCGTCCCGCCGCCCACTGGGATGTGGCCTCGAGGGGCCAGTCTCGGGAATACTGCTTCGGTGATCCTGGAGCCTCGCCCCAAAGAACCTCCGGACACCCTGAACGGGCCCCCTGACCAGCCCGAGCAGAGAGCTCCGAGAGGCCAAGACAACCACGGGAGAGCCTTGCACGCAAGGCGGCGGGCACCGTCACGCCGCGAGGCGTCCCCACAACACGGGAGCACGGAGTGGACAAGACGTGCGCCACCTCCCACAAGAACTCCACCCCGGGCAGCGGACCTCTCCCGAGCCCCCTGCCGATATGCCCCTCTCCCAGCCCGCGCGGCCGCCTCTCTGCCGCCTGCAGAGGCGCCTGCTGCCAGGAGCCCGCGGACCGCAGCGGCGTTTCCATCCCTGGCGGATTGAGCTCGGCGGGGCGGGGAGCGGGGGCGACAGGCGGATGGGGGCATGCGGGAGCGACGATGGCCCTGAGCTCCCAGGGGAGAGGGTAGGTCTCACACCACTCTTGTACGCGTGGAGCCC